TGTTAAATACAGAAATGGGACACATAACTGAGAGTGCGCCTTTTAGTACGGTGCGCCTTATGGTCGTGAAAATACGGTAAGTGCATTTTTTCTTGGATTGAGGAGGTAAAAGAGACATTTTGCCAACGGAACGAGACAATTTACACTTAAAAAAAGAAAACACGATTGCATTTTTCTATTTTAAGTGTATATTATCTAATTATATCTTATAGAGTAAAAATGCTGATTCCATTGGCAAACTATCTCATTTGCCTACTCAAATTAAGGGTAAATACACTTAAATTAAGACATTTTTACTTATTTCTAGATAGTTTTTCCAGTGAGCGCAGACCACGCTTCAATATTGAGCATAAATCAAAAATGTCTGCATCATACCTGCAACAAGTCCACTGCGACACACTGCTGCGGGAGTATAACCAGCCCTTTATTGTGAATCAGAACTCAAAAAACATGATTATCAAAAGAAGTTTCAGTTACTTTTATGTGCAAACCTTTTCAGGAGATGGAGGCATGTTAAGCCAAAAACAACACAACATAATTTTATTTTCTGTTTCTTGCAGGGTCTGTTTAAAGCCAGGAAGATCCTGAGTGAGGACTACGGCAGCATCCATGTGTATTTTGGTCAGCCTGTTTCTGCCAGAAGTTTGGCAGAAGGCAAAGTTAAACGCTCTCAGTTCAACCTAATACCCAGGTAAATCCATGAAACCATATTTACTGATAGACACCAACATGTCTATCAGTAAATATCTATTACCCCTTTCCCACTGGCCGGAAAACCTGTTTCAACCCGGGAACAATGGGCTTTTAGTGGAAGTGGGAAAAACTCCCCGATGTGCGTCAAACGACTCGGCAAACGACCCGCTTTAAAATCCCCTTGGCTCTGATAGGCATGCTGCGGGAAGACCAGACCTGGGCTGATGCGCTAAATTACATGACAACATTGAACGCAATGTACGGACGTCAACAAGTTTGTAACAAGCCGAAAAAACTCTGTTTATATTTGTTCAACATGGGGCAGCGCTGGTGAGAGGGATTCAGACAGATGAAAGCATGAAATAAAGAATACTGTCTACCATCCATGTTGCTCTCCATTATTTACTTCCCTGACTTCCTTCGCACTGGTGACATCATCAACGTCATCAGACACCCAGTGGTCGGGGACAGTGGCCACGCAGCTTGCCAGCAGGGGCCAGACTCGGCTTTTCGGTCAAATGAGAAAAGAGCCAAAAGCCGATTGTTAGTGGGTTAACCTGGTTTTTAAAAATCCGGGTTTTCAATGTGAAAGCGGCTTAAAATGTCCCCGCAAAAATCCCTGACATTTGGCTTTTTATTACAGGCACATCCCCAGGAAGCCCACAGAGGAAATCCAAGACTTTGTCAACGACTCGGCCTACAGGCTGGTCCGAGCCCAGGAGGAGAGCATGGTGCTAAAGCCCTGGGTACTTCTGGCTTCCCTGCTGCTCCAGAACCAGGCTGCTGGGAGCAAACAGGGAATGTCATTGCGAGAGCTGACTGAACAAGCTGTGTGGGTCAGGGACCTCTCCCGGCAGTTTGGAGCGTTTCTTCACTGGCCTGGTACGGTACTGTCAATCTCACTGAGGCAGACATATTGAAAGCTGTGTTCACTGCAAGGATGGGGTTTTTAAAAGTGAGGCTGTTTAAGGAAAATAATGTTGTAAATCTAAAGCAGCAGTTTCCAAA